TCAGCAGCGGCGGTGGCGATGGCATGGTATTCAGCTTCAGTTATAGATCGTGCAACCATTTTTTGTTTTTTAGAACTCCAACTGATTGGAGTAGCTCCAAGGAAGACAATGTACCATGATGTAGATGTTATATTATCAAAGTTCCTTAGCCAATCAACATCAGCAAAGGCATGGAGATGAAGTGAAGTATTTTTGCGAAGAAAAATGCCATGAGTAAGAGTCCCTTTAAGATACCGCAAAATTCGTTTGATCGCAGACCAATGCGTAGTAGATGGTCAATGCATGAATTGCGATAATTTATTGACGGAAATAGAGGGAGTGAGAAGTTGTTGAACTCGAGTAATAGTAGTATGTGGATCTTGAGGGTAAGGACTGGACGGTGTCATTGGAGGTTCGTGTGATAAGATCGGAGGGATATTCCAATGATGTATGTTTATCGGAGTAGCCTGCATAGTAGGATTATTTTGAAAAGGAAAGACAGACTCCTAAAAAATAACATGACGTGATATAAAGCCTTTTTTAGTTTATGGTTCATAGCATCGAAAAGCATTATGTTCAAGAGAGTAGCCTATAAAAGTGCAAGGCTTAGATCGTGGTGTTAGCTTATGTGAGGCATAGGGACGGAGCAATGGAGAACATAAACAGTCAAAAACTTTGAGTTTATGAAGATTTGAAAGCTTGTGGAATAATTTTTCAAATGATGACTGGTATTGTAAGATTGGAGTGAGCATATGATTAATGAGATAAACTGCAGTTTGAAAAGCTACTGACCAAAAAGGTGGTAGCATGGATGCTTGATGTAGAAGGGAGAGACCAGTTTCAACGATATGCCGATGTTTGCGTTCAACAGAGCCAACCAATTGGGGAGTATGTGGGGGTGACTTGAGGTGTTGTATACCACAAGCGGAGAGACAGGATATGAGGGCTTAATATTCGCCTCCGCCATCAGAGTAAACTATTTTAATGGAAGATTAAAAAAAATTCTCGACCAACTTTCAAAAGTTGGTAAATACTATGAAAATATCAGACTTATGGTGGAGAGGATATAATCATGTGTACTTAGTAAAATAGCCTACAAAAATGACATAAAAGCGAAACTTGTCAAAAGAAGGAATTGGGGCAAGGCCCCACACATCAGTATAAATGATTTCAAATGGTTTAGAGCAAGAAAAAGAGGTTGTCCCAAAAGACAGTTTATGACTTTTATAGCAAAGACAAGCATCACAATGATTGATAGTGCTATTGATTTTCAAGGTAGGAAGAGAATAACGAGAAAGTAATTTTTGCTGGATAAAAGGGAAGGGATGACCAAGACGACGATGCCATACATCAAGCGGAGCTACGACTAAAGAGTGAGCAGTAGGAAGGGTAATTTGTGAAGTGGATGACCACTCATAAATATTGTCTTTGTTCTAGCCCTAGACTAAAGATGCCCCCGTGCTTAAATCCTTGACAAGAAAAAAGTTAGGAAAGAAGGTATTATTTTGTTTACAGAATTGAGAAACAGAAATGAGGTTTCTTTTAATGAGAACATCATCGAGTGTAAAAGTTGTAGTAAGTAAACTAAGCGTTGAGAAACCCGAATGAGTAATAGGAATTCTTTTACCATCACGGATATCTTCATTTCCGTCATAGTTGTTGTGGATGGACAAGTTTTGAAGATCAAAGGTGATATGGTGAGAGGCACCCGAGTCACAATCCAATTAGGTTGGGTAGGAGTTGGAGTAGCCATGAAATTCGCTTAAGGCCACTGTGATGGAGCAGAGAGACTGGGACGAGACCGATAGACTTTCGCGGGTGTCCGACTTTATCACATAGTTGGCAAACGACTCGTTGGTGGCTTGTGAAGTCAGGACGCGACGGCTGAGGATTATGAAAGTTACCACCTTAATATGGATAAGGGGGGTTTGGTCTGGGCCCCATAGGGCTAGGAGGCAGCTTAGCCAGATCGTTGTTGACGTGCTTATTGTACTGGTTGCTCTTCCTCTTAGATTTTTGATTGACCTGAGCTGTAATAGGTGATCCGGGCAATCTATCATCACGCTTCAAGTACGTCTCATAGTCGATCAACTTATCATAAAGTTCTTCGAATGATATTGGGGAGTTACGTGCCCGAAGTGCTGCTGTCAGTTCTTTGTACTCGCCTCCTAGGTCATTGAGGGTATGGATTAGGACTTCTTCATCACTGAGAGAATGACCTATCAAAGCTAAGTCATCGATGATAACTTTGATATTTTGTAAATAATCAGCAATAGTACTTCCCTCTTGTTTCGTTTTCATCAGATTGGAGAGAAGTCCGAGCATGCGAGTACGCGAGCAATTTGCCAAAGTTGTTTGTAACTTGCATCATGCTTCTGTAGTAGTCGTACATAAGGATATCAGCGGGGAAATGGATCCAGTAATAGAAGCTTGAATAGCTTGGAGGATGAGGTGATCTTGACGTAACCATAATTTGCGGGATTTGGCACTGAGTTCGCCTGGGATGTTGATCATTTTAGGTGGACACTGGAGAGAGCCATCAATGTAACCTAGGAGATCATAGCCAAATAGAATATTAGAAAGTTATGCCCGTCAAGATGCGTAGTTGCCGCCTTTGGATAATTTGAAGGGAATGAGTGCTGTAGCATTGATGATGAAGTGCTCAGAGTCCTTGTAGAAACAGGGACAGAATATCGGAAGAGGAAAATGAAGAAATCCTAGATATTTTGTGGTGGTTTAAGTGATCTTTTACAGAAGATGTAAAGCGATAGGAGGGAGGGAGGAGGAGAAAAGTAGATTGATGCGCTGTAGAGGAGGCTGCAGCGATGAACTGCAGAGGAGGCTACAGTGATGGGCGAGGAAGCTACAGAGGAGGCTGCAGCGATGCACTGCAGAGGAGGCTGCAACGATGAGCGAGGAAGCTACAGCGATGAGCGAGAAATCAGCAACGATTAGGTGAAAAAAAAAAATCTACAGCAATTACAGCTGTTGAAGCTTGTTGTGGCAGTAAAGACTGCTTTGTTGCTTTGGATTAATGTTGCCGAGGTGCACCGAGGTAGAGGAAATGACAGGCGGCTGTCGAGGACAACTGCCACCACGGTAGTGTAGGCGAGATTCTCAGGTGGCCGAGTAGTAGCGGTGCCGAGCATAAAAGAGGAGGCACAGAGGTAGAGGAAATGACAGGCGGCTGTCGAGGACAGCTGCCACCACGGTAGTGTATGCGAGATTCTCAGGTGGCCGAGTAGTAGCGGTGCCGAGCATAAAAGAGGAGCAGTAGAAGGCTTCGGCAGGGAGGTTATACACATTCAGCAGGGAGGATTTTTCTTAACTGTTTAGAGATTTTCTCAACTGCCTTGAGGAAATCTTATCTGCTTATCACTTTTTACATTATCTTAGTCTCATACCATTATACTCTGAACAAAAAAGGAATAAAGATAATTTTCATGCATCCATTATCGAACAAATAGTATCATGAATAGACATATTAGCACTAGTTAATGATGATTTTGACTAATACAACCAACAGATATAACAGCTCGATATCGACAAAAGGTGTTTATAATTGATTTTTACGTTTATATTAACATACATGTTACATAACAACCCCTAAGGCTCTCACAAGTCATATAGGTATACTCAAGAGATAGAGAACAATTCCAGTTTGACTTGTCTAATTAGATTATTAACTTCAGCATCAGAGACATATAGACAAAAATACCACTTAGTTTTTTTAGAGTTTGGATAGTTAATTTGGAGAATTTCACCTTACAACCGGCTCGTACAGGAATTTGATTGGATCCGAATCAGTTTCTAGCTTGGGCAATCAAAATTTACACTAACATATTTCTAACTTGTTTTTTCTAGTTTCACATTTAATTTTATCATTTTAAAATCCATGTTATTACCAGAGCATTCTATTGATTTTCATTTATTTCATTTATTCCTCACCATTATGCTAGGAGAGTTAGATTCTTCCTTTTTCCTATTTCTGGCATATGGTTGTTATCTTCGAGACACATCCATTTATACCCTTTAATAGTAGCTAAGAGGCAGATTTAAGGTTTTTAATTTTCTGAAATCAAAAATCAAAATTGAACCGAACTCGTTCCAATTCGAATAGTTAATTTTTTATTATTTTTAATTACAAATAATTTAAAATTTCTAATTCAAAACTTAAAATTCATAATTTTATTTTAAAATTTTGAAACATAAATGTACACGTATAATGAGCATAATGACATTAAAAGAAGCTGATATAAAATAAAATAAAATTATAAATTTTTTAATCAAACAAAGTAGCTCTTCCAAAAAAATAGAATTATAAAATTTTTAATCTAATTAAATACATCTATCAAGATTCAAACCCAAGTTACTTAGATTTAAATTTAATAATTTAATCTCTAAATCATAAGTTGTATATGTGATTTATTTTTTCTTATCGTATTTAATCGGTTTAATTTAATCGAACCGCTCAAGGTAGGTATCGGTTTAATTCAAAATCAATAAATCATTGAATCAATTTGATTTTGATCTTAGTTCGATTTCAGTCTGAATTAAATGATGACCATATTTTGTCAATTGACCACGGTAGAAAGATAGATTAATGCTCTCCCACTATTTGAATGTTTAATAAATAATCATTTGACAGCAGTTAGGTTTATTGAATTGTTGGCTTTTGTTTGTCATGTTACACGTGTATCCATACAGTTTTATCCTTTTAAAATATATGAGCTCTAAAAAATACTTTTAAAAATAAGAGAGATCTAGCGGATTTATTAGCCCTTGGTTCATGTACTCCTCAATTAATATGGGACTAAATGATCTTACAAAATTTTAGTCTATATTTTATTTGAAATCTTGTACCACCTTATTGCTATATTAAAAATTTCTTATAAATATATCTGCTATATATAATGTAGTCCCCAAACTTGATTGTTGATTGAGACGGTGAAATCTGTTGAAGACCCTCCAAGAAAGGAGACAAAGATAGATACATGCATGAAATTTGTTGGATGATCGAGAGTACATGCTGGTTATTTTGAGGATTTAATAATATTTTAGTACCATTTGTTGTCAAGCATAACGAGTTCTTAAGACGCAATCACCAAGGAAGCTCGTTACGATCTCCTCCCAAGAGATCATATTGAGATCTACATCTCTAACTTTTTTGCACACCACTGGCTCCTTGATTGAGACTGTCGAAAGTGTGGTCGATAGAGATCAACTAGGTCACGACGTGTGATGAACTCCGCATGGCAAAGATCCTCCTTGCACGAGTTTATGTCAACTTTAGTTTGGCCTGGCCTGCCTCTTTGAGCTGTCATGATATCGATCCAGCTTGTGTTCATAGATCTCTTCAGCTATCCTAGAAGAACAGAATGAACAGGAGGAGGAAGCATAGATGAAAAGGAAGGTTGTTCGCAGAGGATGGCGTATCCGCAGGTTCGTCACCAGTAGGTTGACCCTTAGAATAATTGTGTGAGCTCCTCATCCTGTATATGGTATATAGATTTAAGACACTTTCAGAGATTTAAGGAGCAAATCGTTCACTATATATATATATATATATATATATAT